ACTAGATATCCGGTATTCTTATAAATAAAACCGCCAAGAAGTGACGGCAACAATGTAATTGAATTGCAGACAGAGATAGAGACGAACAATTGAGTCAAGCACGTGAATCGTTCGTTGTGAATTATAGCGTTTGTTTAAGTTATAGCGTGACTGTGGAAATTAAGTGTACTGCAAAGTTGTATTGAGAAAGAATAACCCAGTTTTATTTAAGAAAGGACTTGTATCGGTAAAGTTTCTTCGGAAAGAATTTTTACGGAAAATTAACTAACGACCAGAGACGTAACAATATCATATCACATAACATATCAACCATAACAGTGTTGTGAATTATAAAACTAAACTATTTCTATATATGTGTTAAATATTTATTTATTTTTTTCACCAAAAGTGAAACTGAAAGGAGAATCTGTGTTGTAGAGGCCTAACGCATTCTTTGATTGGCCATATTCTCTGCTTCGGGCTGCAGTTTCGCCTATTCAAGGCTCATCAACACAGCTAGAGACAATAAACATAAGAAATACAGTTAGGCCTCTTACAAAGGACTCAAAACTCCATAGATATTATAAAAGGTTTCTGTTTTTACTCACGTAGGGTATGCCAGCATCAATGGTTCGTTGAGATACGTCTGTCACTTCAGAAAGATTGTTGTAACCCCACCTTGAAAGCTGATATCCCAAACTCCAGTATGGTGGAAACATGGGAAATCCAATAACCTGGAACCCAAAGCAAACTCAAAACAACAAGTAATATGATTTTAAAACATTTTTAATTTTCAAGCAACACTAAGTTTCGCTCGGTTTACCTAGCATCGTCAGATGGATACATTTAAATGACGGAACAAAAACGTTACGTAACTTTTCAGGCTTTTAACGTGAGTACTCATATTTGTATTAAGTAATTTATTTGGACTATCACCACGTGTTTTTGTTTGTAGCTAAGCGCAACGTTGTACAATGGGCTATCTGCGTTTGCTGTGCTCACCGAGTGGATCTAACGCAAAATCTCAGCTTTATAAGCTCTCGAGCCAAAAGAGGGCTTTTGTTTGTTTGTTACGGATTTCGCGCAAAGCTACACGATGGCTATCTGCGCTAGCCGTCCCTAACATGCTCGCCCTTTCAGCCGTGGGGGCGTTATAATGTGACGGCCAATCCCACTATTCGTTGGAAAAAGAGTAGCCCAAGAGTTGGCGGTGGGTGGTGATGACTAGCTGCCTTCCCTCTAGTCTTACACTGCTAAATTAGGGACGGCTAGCGCAGATAGCCCTCGTGTAGCTTTGCGCGAAATTCAAAAACCAAACCGGTGTCTCAGCGGTTCATCTGAGGGCTTACAACGCTAAAAGTTGATATACGAGGTGGGCAGAGCACCTATAGCTAGCTCACTATGTAGCGTTGCGCTTAACAGCAAACAAAAAACGATCCATATTATGTATCACCACGGAAGTTAATCAATCCGTTAGTTTTTTTCAATACTGTTTTTTTTCTTACTGTTACACTTAGCCTGAAAATAACGTTCAGATCGGGAGTTCTAGATGAACTTAGTTTACCTGCATGTACTGACGAACAACGTCCTCTGGTGTTGGTCCAAGGAAAACAAAGAAATCCAAGATGCCGCCGATAGTGCGAAATGTTATGGCAGGATACGGTTGGAAAAGAACATCTGTAAAAACCAACGCAAACTTTCAAAAAACAAACAAACAGTTATCTAACTGGCTATCTAGCTAGCTTTCTCTGTTTATTTGTTTGTCTGTCTATATATTTGTCTATCTAATTAGCTAGCTATCTCTTTGTCCGTCTGTCTATATATTTGTCTATCTAATTAGCTAGCTATCTGTTTGTCCGTCTGTCTATATATTTGTCTATCTAATTAGCTAGCTATCTGTTTGTCTGTCTGTCTGTCTATAGATTTGTTTATCTAACTAGCTAGCTATCTGTTTGTCTGTCTGTCTGTAGATTTGTTTATCTAACTAGCTAGCTATCTGTTTGTCTGTCTATAGATTTGTTTATCTAACTAGCTAGCTATCTGTTTGTCTGTCTGTCTGTAGATTTGTTTATCTAACTAGCTAGCTATCTGTTTGTCTGTCTATAGATTTGTTTATCTAACTAGCTAGCTATCTGTTTGTCTGTCTGTCTACCTATTGATCTGTCTATCTATTTGTTTGTTTTATCCATCTGGCCGTCTTTAGTTAAAACAACCTACCCATAGCGTTGCTATTTAACAGAAAGTCCGTCTGTCCGTTTTTAGCTAAGACAACCTACCCATAGCGTTGCTATTTAACAGAAAGTCCGTCTGTCCGTTTTTAGCTAAGACAACCTACCCATAGCGTTGCTATTTAACAGAAAGTCCGTCTGTCCGTTTTTAGCTAAGACAACCTACCCATAGCGTTGCTATTTAACAGAAAGTCCGTTTTTAGCTAAGACAACCTA